CTGGATGCTCTCCCTCTCTCTCAGATATTACAAGTGCACATTAGGGCACCGACCGGCAGAAACATCTGCACCTATGGCATGGACGACGAAACAAAACCTCGTCAGAGCCGTAATGCAGCACAGAAGTGTGCAGTGTGTTTGCTTGCCGAGCGTCTACATTTGAAATAACGAACCTGAGCACGCAAAAGACGCGATGTGAATGGCTTTTTTCCCCCCTGCATGTCATGTGTGCAGGGCTCCATTTTTATGATGAGAGGAGAGGAAAGGTTGAGAAAGCACTCCAGGTAAATTTTGAAATTTACCAGGTTTATATTTAGGCTATATATAAAGTTGATAATCAGTTAAATGTGTTGGTTTACACACAAAGAAAAGTGTAAGCTTTTAGTAAGTCCAAGAATAAAATTATTAATTTCCTTAGCATGTTCAATTTGATTAACAGAACTTTTGTGCTGCTTTCTAACAGTTTGGACTTGAATAAAGAGAGAAAACTTGCACTTAACCTTATTAACCTTATTATTCAGATATCGTGATGTATCATTATAGAATTGTCAAGCAATATATCGATTATCGCAGAATATATGTATCGCGATATTATCGTATCGTGAGCCATGTATCGTGATTTGTATCGTATCGTGAGGTACCCTGCGATTCCCACCCCTAGTATCTCACGGGCAAAAAATATATATAAAATAATAATAATAATAATTTAAGTGCATTTTTCTTATTTTACAAATGATCTGCCAATAGGGTAAGAAAAATACGGCAGCGGCTATTTACACTAAGTGGAATTAACATTTTCTTAGCGATAGATCCTATTTACAGTAGGCTAAGTGCAAATAGTTCTAGATGCTATTTACACTTAGTGAAAATAGTGATATATTCTATTTACCATGTAAAAGTAGCAGTTCTTTGCAATAAGTGTAAATAATAATTAGATGCTATTTATACTTTATACTGGCAGATATACTATTTGCACCTCAGTATTGTTGTACATTAACAGTGTAAATGATTATATTTATTAAAATTATAAATACTTTTATCATTATTAAACACTCGTTAGGCACTTTACTTCCACTTTTAGAACATTTTCTTAATTTTGATTGAAAATAAATTCTGTGATATGTGATGGGAAAAGTGAGAAGAGCGAGCTCGGCAAAAACCATCTTTTTAGCAACATCATATGACCCCTTTAAAACCCGTCTTATCTGGGTATGAAATGACAAAATCTAAATCTTTTTACCTGTGTGTCAAACGGACAAGTCGTCGAGCTGTTGTCCATTTCTATAATGTAAAAAAATCAGTTTTAGTGATATGTGATGGGAAAAGTGAGAAGAGCGAGCTCGGCAAAAACCGGACTCGAACCCGATCACAAGCTAGTTCTCCACGCCCAACACGTTACTGCCTACACCACTGAAGCCGTTATTCACGTGCGTCGTATTTAACCTTGTGTGACATTGGAGGGCGGAGCTACTGTAAATTTGTCCATTTCTATAATGTAAAAAAATCAGTTTTAGTTTACGATCACATTTTACACCACATGCGACTCACATAATGACACATATAACATCAAAATAGCGTTACAATAACACAAAACCTAACGTTACAATTAAATCAAGTTTCCCGTTTTGATGCATGTCCTTAGTTATGACATCTGACTGGATCCAACAATTTAAAAAACTTTAGAATAGCTGTTCAGTTCAATCAATCATTAAACAGAAGAACCTTGTCAGACAAATGAAAGTTTTAAAAAGGGATTTATGATATTATATAATGCACAGAGTCACGTCACGTATCTCCACACCTAAACAAACTGCAAAAACACATATAACTTTTCTGATAACTTTATATATTAATTTCCACAGCTGTGATTTGACTCAAATAAAAGGTTTATTATGTTTCTGGATCATTTTATTAAATAAACTACGCTTTTTAATCTTTGTTAATGGGCAGTCCTCGAGCTCTATTAGCCTCCTAGCACTACATATTTTAGAGTTTATTATGTTTAATAACACTATATCGTTCATTACACGCCAATTATGACAAATATCCACGACTACACAACTAAATCCTCAACTAGCTCGAACTGTAATGTCTTTAAACAAAACTTAATCCACTTTTTTCCTCCCCTGCAGGAACTTGCTAATTGGCTACGTTAGCCGTCATGCTAACATTGTTGTGACTGATGTTTGTGTTTATGGTGTTTTATTCACGTGTACCTCCTGCTGAAACACAGATAGTGAACCACGCTACGGTAAAGAGAGAGATAATTATCCGGAATCGAAAAACAGGCGATGACAGTGGCGGTAGTGATGGAAAACAGTGATGATATATGCCCGAATGTGATGAAGATGTGATGGGTAAAACCCAGTCAGACAGATCTGCCAAAATAAAAGTCCCCTATTGCATTCATATGGATCACCCATCTATTGGTCAGTTTACAGGCCAGAAATATAATATACACGTAAAGTGTGTATTATACACTTCGAATTGCATTAGATTTTTTTTTTTAAACTGTAAAACATCTGCGACTTTATTTATTTATTTCGCATGGGTGCATATATTTTCATGGCTAAATGTCTAAGTATTTGTCAGATTATGGTTAGATATTTTTAAAGAGAAAAAATACTGCTATAAATATTGTTCAGCAGTTCAAGTATTTTATTTGGCATAATACTACAAAATATTAGGCTTTTAGACTAGAAATTTACTTAAATTTATTTATTGATCTCATAAATTATATTCATATAAATATATCAGTTTTAATCAGATATGGTTGTTTGGTTGTAAAAAAAAAAAAAAAAAAGTCACAGCTTCAAAGTTTACAGCATCTGAGATGAACTCTTAACAATCATTAAATGACAAAATGTTAATATATTATGATGTGTCCAATTATGTGTCACTGAAGTACAATTATAAACCCTTGAAACGTCAACCAAAATCAGGAGTTTCAACTTTTCCATTGTTTTTCCTCTGACGATAGAACGAACAACTCTGAAAACGATCATGCCCTGATATTTAATGGGGAGCGTTGCTCAACTCGTCTCTTCAAAATCCCCCACAGGTGCTTAATGTTGGGTGAAACACTTGCCCACAGAAGGTCTTTCACCTTGGGAGAATGTAGTCATGTTGAAAAAATGCCCAATAATGCAGGGAATAAGGAGAGGGTTGCATCTTCTGTTTCAAGTTTTTGTATTACATGACACATTGATAAAGTGTGAATTAAACAAATTTTAAATCAATAATTTATAACAAGTGCAAAGTGTCACTCATCCATTGTGCCATATGTTGTTGTAGCAACTATAGGTTAGGACAGGCTAGGTCATCGTGAGTCAAATGTTGCGGTTAAAAATAGATGTGCGATTTTCACGCTTTTAGAACAAATACAGCAAAATTAGCACTTTCAAATATCATATCTTAAATTACAAAAACAGTTTCTGGAAAAGAACATCTACTATCGTTAATGACTGATTAGTATAGAAACATTATTACTCAGGCAGTAGTTGAAAGATGTCCAATGTCTATCAAAACACCAGTAAAGAAGATACATCTTCCTACCACATATGAAATGTGAGTACGACATACATATTCTTGGAGAATACTACAAATATTACATCTGGAATATAAATCAAACAAAACAAAACATAAGCATAAATGAGTAGTAAATATTTGAATATATGATGAGGATTAATATAAGAAGCATAAACACAAAATAAAAAATCAATAAAGAATAAATCATAAATGAATAGATGGATATGAAAATCAAGGTAAATCAAACTTTGATTATTTGGATACATCATCCTCTTTAACTTTCAGTTGTTGTTATGCTGCTTTGTGTTCATCTGCATCTCCCATATTTCCTAAATATTTATTACAATAAATATTAATAAATTGAACATTCACTTCAATGGCATGAGATCACTGGATGTTTTCAACGGATTTCCTATTGATTCAGTGATCAAACTATTTAAAATATACTTAATTAAGCTACAAACTCGATCATAAATAACGCACAATGTTTCCATCTAACATGTATTTTGAGGTCCAGCTCGTCATATTAATGGAGAGTTACTTTTAAAAGTAATGAATTACAATATTGCGTTGCTTCCTAAAACAAGTAACTAATTGTATTACTTAGTTATGGAAAGTAATGCAATATGTTACTTTTTCTCGTCTGGCTTGGCCTCATTTTTTCACAAAAAGTTATGTTTATCTAAAGTCATTTTTGCTTATTCGTATGGATAGATCATTGAAGGGCAGCAGCAAAGATACTGGTTAATAAAATGGAATTAAATACATAAAGGATATTTGTGTTATTTAACATGTTTGCATCATGCGTTACCCCCCAACATGGTAGTAACCATGTTTTGTTTTGTTTTTGTATAACCCCAGTTGTACTACAAATACCAAGGTGGAAACTCAAACGTAGTTTAGAACAGTGAATCTCAACCTTTTGGCGTACCGGACCCCAGTCCAGTTCAGAACCATCCTCAAGGACCCCCAGAACAAAATTGACTCGTATCATTTGTGTCTTTGTGAGGACCAAATGCAGTCAAGTATAATTCAAGTCAGCTGACTTGTCCAGTATTTGGCCATATCATCAGCTATATTGGATTTTTCTTTCATGGGAACATGTCATGTCAAAATATACAAAACTTATACAAAAATTCATACTTTATACGGACCCCCTGGCCTTATGTCAAGGACCACTAGGGGTCCACGGACCCCTGGTTGAGAAACACTGGTTTAGAAAACTAGTCCTGTCCGAATAGGGCTTTACACTGAGCTGTGCTGTCCTTCTTCTATTAGCTGCTGGTTTGGGAATCTCAGTGTGAAACACAAAATGCATTAAATATAATCATTACAGTTAGTGGGTAGATTATAGGGAAAGAACAAAGTAGTTTGTAATTTTTGTTCAACAGAAATGTTTTGAGTCGGGCTCGATCTGTGCTCTTGGACAGAGACCATTACTTCTATCCAGAGTTTTATATGCTCCCTTCAGGTTCTCGTTATAGACTACCAAAGATGAAAAGTAACCAATATAAAAATTAGTTTGTCCCCCGTGCAATTCTGTTGTTAAACGGTCCTAACGGAAATGTAATTATCTGACATAGGGAAATCTATTTTATTCATATTTTTATGTATTCATGTTTTATAAGAATGTATTGTATGTGTCTGTTGTGTTGCTCGTTAATTCCCTCGTTAAAAGGGTAAAACTGTAGACTCGATGTAAACAAGAAATTCGCATGTCATGTACCGAGCTCTGTGGTTTTGGCATCCTGAAAAATTAAGATAGAATTATTTTGTTGGCTGTTGTAGAATAAACTGTCTGTTTTCTGTATGTCCTCTATAAAGTGAGTGACATTAGTGCTAATGCACACACACAGGTGCTGTGCTGTGCTCTCCAGAACCGTCAGCGGTAAATACAGCTGATGCAGGAAGACTCATGTGCCTCATTCTGCCAACCAGAGAAAGTCTGCAGAGAGATCAGGTTACAGTAAGTTTCCTCTCACCAAACACACACACTGGACTGAGAGGACAGACTCAAGAGATACAACACTCACTGTAAGTACTGGACAATTTATATGCTTCATTGCCTTTTTATGTGTGTGCTGTGATGCATTTACTTTATGTATGTGCAAAGATCCCATCCTTACGCTGAACAGATCTACAGCAGGAAACATGAGTCAGCGCACTGCAAAGGGCTAAGCTAGAGCTACAGGGAACAGTCAACCCAGAAAGAAATAAACCACATGACAGCATATACTGTATGACTCATAATTGAAGTTAATACTTCTGGTGAAAGATGTCAGCTGTAGCATAGCATTGATAGTGGGCTTTAATTTATGCATTCCTTCACATTGGTTTCCTGGTGATGAACATCCTGAAAGGGTAAACACTCCAGCTCTACTGCAGGGTCCAGGAAATGAAATCAATCTCAGGTGCATGGATGATGAAAAGGACTGCTGGTTAACAGCTGGTTAAAGATGCAAAGGTCATGACAGCAAACGGTTTGCAAAGTTGTTAGTAGAAAGTGTCACTGTTTACACAGTTTTATCTGCCCTATATTTCTCTCTGAATAGTCACAGGAAAAGAAGAAATCTCTCCACAACAAGATTCAACAACATGCCCGGAAACCTCTTAAAAAATCCAAATGGAGATGGTAAGTCGACATTTACAGTACTGTTCAAAAGGTCAATAAGGCATTAAAAAAACGACATATTAATATAGAATATATTAGAATATAGAATATATTAGATTTCTGAAGGAACATGTGACAATGGAGTAATGATGCTGAAAATTCAGCTTTGTCATTGCAAGAATAAAAATCACATTTCACAATAATACCGTTTTACTGTATTTTTTATCAAATAAATGCAGCCTTAAAAAAAAAAGTGTACTTTTTTCATCATGATTTTAGATTTAGGGAAAACAACTAGTCTAGCTTTCTAATTAATGATCTTGTTCTCTAATAAACATGGCACAGTATACTGTACCGCAAACATTATTGGCTCTGTGATGAATTGCTTATGCTGCTATTAGTCGCTTCGGATAAAAGTGTCTGCTAAATGCATAAATGTAAATGTCAGTGCAGTCACTATTTAATCACCTTTTAGCAGTAGACAGGAAGTCATAACCGCGTGCATAACACAAATGAATACAAAAAATGCTGTTTAGATGAAGTAATAGTTTAAGATGAACTCATTTGCTATCACATGTCAGCTCTAAATAAAATTATCAGATCGGTAAAATGTACTTCAGCTACCTTAATATCTGAAAAACGTTCTTCACCAGAGGATCTGGAACACTGGGAGCTGACAGAGAATGGAGGCGATCAATGGCGGACCGAAGACATGCCGGGGGACTGCGGACACGCGTTCAATGACGAATCAGTCACTAAATACTTCTGCACCTCTTTTGAGTAAGAGAGAATGAATAGTAGCTGAACAGATGAGGGTGGGGAAAATAATGCAGTTTTTCTGTCTTTAAAAGAAGTGGGTGAAAAAGTCTTTCTTTCACACTCTCCCTGCTTGTGTTTCGAAATGTCTTCATTCATCATTTGTATATCTGTGTGTTTCAATGTCTATTTCTGTTCTGTTGCAGGCCGTGTCTAAAAAGACAAATGATTGACTTGCTGGCAGAGGGTTACGACCCCGAAAATTTAGATTTTGCACAGCCAGCCGTCACTGTGGAGGACTGGTAAGCCTGGATGATATGGAGATAATGGCATGAGTTTTGTTTCGTCACGTTGTCCGTTCAGTCATTTCTTTTAAATGTGTGTGTGTGTAGGTACTGTAGCCGAACAGACTGTGGGTGTATTTATAATCTCACTGTGTCTCTGCTTGATGAAAACAAAGAGGTCATCACTGAATTTAAGTCAGATGAAGTGACCCTCGACCCTGACTGCGATGACTGCTCTTGGAAAAAGGTATGCAGGAGTGCAGAATCTGAGTCCAGTTTTGCATAACACTCCCACTTAACCTTTAACCCTATACAGCCTATTTTGATCATATTTGATATGCAAATTTGTAAAATTTGCTGAAAAATCTGTTGTACACAATCTAATACACGCCTTCTGATTTACACTTTTTTTAGTAAGTAAAAGTCCTTTTAGTATACTATAATTGATTCACGTCTTTTTGCTGTGTAATTTTTTACTGATTTTTTAAAGTAAACATAAAAATAACATTTATATTTCAAGATGAGCACTTAATGGATTGAAGCAACTTAGGTTTACTTGATTATTCATACATCATTTATTAGAAAAATCATGTTAAAATGTGAGTTTTAAATATTATCATCAGGCTTTTGAGGAACGTTTATTTGTTAATCTCTCAATCAACATTGTATTGCATTGGATTATGTTTTGAAACAGATCTTTGATCATAAAACTAAGCATTTTAAATATCATCAGAAGACGTTATTGGCAGATATAGATAGTCAACTGATATTTATACGCATTTTATGTAAGTAATCTGATATACTGTTATAAACATCTCATTGATTTACATTACAAGCTTTGAGAATTTCATCTTACTTTCGGGCCATACAAATATCAGTATCTGCACCACATTGCATATTTTTGCTCAGTTTGGACCAATGCATAAAATTGAGGGGGTTTTTTTCTCCTCGAGTGTGATCTTTTTTTGTTGTTGTTAGAATTTTTCTATAGATTCAATTAACTGTTGTATTGCATTGGATTCTGTTTTGAAACAGATCTTTGATCATAAAACTAAGCATTTTAAATATCATCAGAAGACGTTATTGGCAGATATAGATAGTCAACTGATATTTATACGCATTTTATGTAAGTAATCTGATATACTGTTATAAACATCTCATTGATTTACATTACAAGCTTTGAGAATTTCATCTTACTTTCGGGCCATACAAATATCAGTATCTGCACCACATTGCATATTTTTGCTCAGTTTGGACCAATGCATAAAATTGAGGGGGTTTTTTTCTCCTCGAGTGTGATCTTTTTTTGTTGTTGTTAGAATTTTTCTATAGATTCAATTAACTGTTCCATTACAAAAATATACATTTCTATTATTTTGAATGTCAGGCTTTACAAGGTTGATTAAATGAATAGGTAAAAAAAAAAAAAACTAATGAGCTGCAAACTGCTAGTCATATCAATGACCTAAAGCTGTTTAGACTACATATTTATATAGTATATTTTGCACCTTTCTCTTTTTTTAGGTTCTACATCATTCAAGTATTTCTTTATTATCAAGCCTGTTGTTTTAAAGGTGACATATCATGAAAATCTGACTTTTCCAGGTTTTAAGTGCTATAATCAGGTCCCCGGTGCATCTACCAACCAAGGAAACGTGATAAAGATTAACCCAGTAACTTTGTTTTGGTAAG